TATGATAGCGAAGTTTAAACTATTCTATTTTGGTTCAACTGAAAACCATTGGAAATCACATTTCTATTATCACCAAATGATATTAGGCAATATTAAATATAGTAGCAACACTACACTCTCTAAATTTTTCTGGGAAATAAAAAAAAAGCTGTAATAGAAAGGCAACTATCACCTGGGATTACGTAACAAAAGCCAAACCTTTCAGAGGAAAAGGCGATGAATGTAATTTATGTCTTTCGGGAAAATTAGTGATTCTAAAACATATAGAGAATACAGATTTGTTAAAAGAATTGAGTTAATGATCATATGCGTACATAGAAACAAATACCTACTCAAGTGCGTTCCCCCAGATGAATATACTTTTCTCACATTCGGACGCCACAAATACTAGTGTTAATGTTACTATTATTTCTATATTATTAATATTAATATTGTCAATATTATTATATTATTAACATTATTATTTTACCTATTACTATTATTATTTTTTCACTGCATACCTATTGTTTTCATTATTATTTTATCATTAACAACGGTAATAATTTATCCAAACCGCGAGACCCTGAAATATTAATCGGATTGCAACCATTTCATTTGTACCTGATGATTGCATTGTGCATGAAACCCCGAGTCATACTGTCGGCGTGGAGTACTATGTATATTTATTAATATATACTTAATAGCTTTGTCATTTTGCATTGAGCACTATTTTATTTACACACTCCTGTTGGCACCTGCCCTTAAGTGGACAAGCGTCCTTATTTCTACACTTACAGTAAGAGGTTTGGGATGTGCTTTGTCTATTTTGTTTTTCCTGTTATATTTATTAATTAAATATGGCTTACAACTATAACTTAATTTAACATAGTTTCTATTGAGAATTTTGTATAATACAATAATCGAGGGGAAATTCTTTTTTAGTAATTAGAAAAACATTCTTCCTATTTTAGTTTTAACTGCTAAATTATATTGTGGGGTGGGGGTTAAACCATAATATCTTCCTGGCTCTATTTTTGTGTTTGCCTTGCGTGTTAGGGGATTTATGAGTATCAACATATATTAATTTGTTTTTGTTTTCACTATTTTTAAGGACTTTTCATAATCTTGTTTATTTTTATTGAAGATATAAGCACTAGATGAATTATTGGACAATCTATAACTAATTCCGTTAGGTATATGTTTTAAAATATGTCTAGGGTAGTTAGAACCTACGTCAATATAAACGCTGTTGTTGGTTGCTTTTCTTAAATGAGGAAATTGTGCTATTACGTAGGTCGAGGGTGATGTCTAAATTGTCAGTGACTTTTAAATTAGTTTGTATTTCTAATTTAAATCCTATTTTTTTGATCATCCAATGTATTTTTTACGGGTTATGTCGCTTTTTCTGGTGGTACATTTATCTATTATAATTAAACAATCGTCTTTATATAGACCATCGTTACTAGGGTCAATAAACTTATTCAAATTATTTAATAGAAGGCACCCTACTAATTCGTATACCTCGGCTCCGTCATATGCCCCAATGGAGTTGTCAAAATTGCCGCTATCTGCTTTTTTAATCCATAACACATCGTTATGGTGTAATGAGTATTTGAGGCAATGCCTAATGAGGTTAATTTTATCATTGGATATTGATATGTACTCTTTAGCCAACTCTAAAGCCTCATTAACCGTTTTTTGTTGTGTTTTTTTTTTTTTTTTTTTTTCGTAATAGATGGGTAAAATTCTTTTATATATTTCACAAAAGAACATTTGCTGTTTTTGTCATAATTATTAAACCATTCTATACAGTCACGAGTAGAGAGTCATTGGTTAATGTTTAAAACTGCTCTTAGTGTTTCACATATATTTTGTAGTATTATTTTACTGATTTTACCCATTTCTGTTTTAGTTGGGTTGATTAACCGAAATTCGGAGTTGTAGAAATCATTTTTGTGGTCTTTTAATGTTGTAAAACAATTTTTAATATTAATTTTCTTTATTATATTCTCTAGATTAAATTTACTAACAAGTATACTAGTTTCCTTCAATTTCTAGGTTAGCAGGGTCCTTCTTATAGTGTTTAATAACTTCCTTGGGCAGCATACTATTATATTTGCTGAAGCTTATCTTATATAGAAACCTAGATTTTTTTCTGCCTTAACGATTACTTTTTTGCTTTTCTTAATCTCTTTCAAGTCCCTACTGATTTGTTGTATGGTGTTACTGAAGTTTCTATATTTTATCATTTTAACTAAGCCGATCAATTCGGATTCGATTATATATATATATATATATATATATATATATATATATATATAATGTATAAAATAAAAAGAAAGAACAGTAAGATATAAAATCCGGTGTTCTTATAGCTAATAACTGATACAATGATACTGTCATAAGGAAAATCTAGACACCCCGTGTTCAATTTGAGTAGAATATTCTGTAACCATGGAAACGTGATTTTAGCTGTGTATTTAAAACCCGGTAAATTTTAAAAGTTACTCCAAAATTCGCTTGAAGATGAAATAGAACTAATGCTTTTAATTTATTTGCAAAAATAAAATTAGGGGTTTTTAGCTTCTATTTTTGAAACATGGTTGGAACTGTGTAGCGAAAATAACCATATTTTAAATCAATTAATTTATAATATATATATATATATATATATATATATATATATATATATATAATATGTAGTGGGATGAAAAGACTAAGATGCGAAATCACAAGTGATAGAAAGGTTGACATCCTTCTCTTCTGACATTTTTACAACAATAATTTCTCTTCGGAAATTGAATCTCCAAATACCATCAGCCGATCCTTAATCGACATTCTTTTCTCAGGATTCCCAGACGTCGATTTGCTTCAAGCTTCTTCCCACACGCTTCTTTTGCCATCACTGTCTTGTTAATGAACTCTCTAAAGTTCAGACTCACATTGCCGCTGGGAAGATGGCGTCTAATGCATTAGCTTCGCCTTTCAGAACTTTAAAAAGAAACGACATAAAGTCTTCAGACAGTTTGATGTCTACGCATATATATATATATATATATATATATATATATATATATCAATACGTTCATAATCTGATATTTAGTAATTAACTGATTTTTTTTATCTGAAATGTTCACTATTATGCTCGATATATGATACTAATATTCACCACCGACCGAATTCGGTGTAAAAATAATGGCTTCCGTATATGCTCATGTATAAGTCGAATTCATGTACAGAGCGACCTCTGAATTATATGGCATGAATTTTAACCTCTCCAGAAAAAAAGTTACCTGTGTATAGCAACCGGTTACCTAAAATACAGGATTTTTAACCTTTAAAAAAAAAAAATTCTCTCTCACGTGTCAAGCGTCTTATGTATTGAGTTGGATCTTTTCTAATTGATCTCTTTAGCTCTAAGTTGAAATGATGATCCCTCTTCCAGTTGTGACCTCCTGATCCAGTTTTCCTCTCTACTGTTACTCTCTACTCTTTTTAAAAACTTATTCAACGTTCTCTTGATTGTTCTTGAATAGACTTTGAAGATGGAAACCAGAGTATGAGTGTTGATATTATTCAGGGCTTCAGTAATATACTGAAAACCTGAATAATCTTTTCCTCTCACCATTGCTCAGTTAAGAAGACAGCGGGTCTGACAGAAAACCATTTTAACCTGTCCTCTTTCTAGCTGAATAACTCAAAGGGTTTTTAGTGATTCCTACGACAAATGGTGCCAAGATGGCTAAATATCTTATCTGAAAAACTTGGAAAAAAGAAATTCAATTAGTTTAGTGGTTTTTCGTCGATTTAAAAGATAAATTGTGGGAGGGACAGTTATGTTTTAACACGATTTGGACAATTTTGATGTTACACTCGGTATGGTATTTTGAAAAAGAAATATTTGCTGTGGAAAATAAATACGTTGTTCATCATTAGATGTCATATAGTATTTATATGCGCGCGTTTGTAAGACGTTCCCTCGCAAAACCTGTTTTCAAGTGTGCCTTCATTGAGTCTCTGACATTCCAAAGTCTGTACTGATCATTTTTACACAGGCAACGTGAATGTACAAAGAGGTCTGAATTGATTGCTTTATTTATATAAGTTAAAGAAAACCTGTTAGATGCAAACAGAAAAGTAATAGACCCATTTTTTAAAAATCGGTTTCATCCCATGCAAAGCAGAAAAACCACTGAAATACAAAGGGTTACATGGTGTGGAAGAATTTGTTACTACATTCTGTAAGAGTTCTTGTAGTTTTCTCATGCATTTGTTAAGATTGTGACCGCCAATTATGAATCCTGGCAGGACTTCTAATTCTCTCAGAATCGCCTCACTGTATAGGTTAAATAAGTCCGGTGAGAAGACACATCCTTGTCTTACACTCCTTTCCAATTTTGTATATTTACTGAATTCATTATCTATCCGTATGCAAACGGTTTTCTCCCGGTATAAGTTCTAGATTGTTCTAAAATACTTCCCAAATATGTCATGGTTAAAGAGCAGTTTCAACATATATCTAATATCCAAATATGTTCATGTTACTTTTTTTTTTTTTTAAATCGGTATCACCCCATGCAAGGCGGCAAAACCACTAAGTCACAATGGGTTACTGAGTGTGGAAGAATTGGAAACAGAAACATTACTAATGAGTGGAAAGAGAAAAGAATAATCAGGAGGAGAGTAGATAGCGATTGGCATTGCATTTAAAAATTTTGCAGATTAAAGTTGGCTGGAAAACATGGAGCCGGAATGGAGTTCCACAAGCAAGAAGTGCGAGAAAATAAACTATTAGCATAGAATTTACGGCTCTGTCTGGCCAGCTCAACTGTAAATTGATGAAATCTCGGTTCCAGCTTCTAAAAGCTTTCATTCAGCGATACCGAAAGTCTCTGAGTTCGAAGCCCGTACCATTCAGATTTTACTTAAACTATGATTGCTGGATTAATACGGCAGAAACAAATTTCTTATTGTTTCTGCTCGAAAATAAAATGCTTCGTTCGACAAAACCGCTTTCTGGCTTACAGCCACATCCCGTTGAAAACACCGGTTTCGCTACGATCACCTAAGTTAAGCAACGTCGAGTCTGGTCAGTACCTAGATAGGTGACCTCTTGGGAATACGAAACGCTGTAAGGTTGGATGTGCAGGTGTTATAAAGGATAATGGCTTGGAATTGTTAATTGGAAAGCCGAGTTTCAGTTCCAGTCGGGTTTGTTATATTCACTTACGCGCAAATAGCTTTGAGAAAGTTATGAATCCACCTATTCTCCCCCCAGCTATGGGTTAATTATCAAAAGTTGTATCATTAAAACCTTTATCTCAAAAGAAATAAAAATAAAATCTCATACAAAATATTTAGATTTCGGTATTAAATAACCTGCAGAAGTCGATATGCCGCTTTCTCTAGAAACTACATAACTGTTTTTCTATATTACAGTACAAATATGGCGTTGTGGTAGTTACAAAAACAAATAACTAAATAAAAAGTAAATTCTTTTCTCTTCGTATATTAAAACGGAAAAAGAAAGAAAAAACAGGAAGTGGAAAGGCCTTAGAGATGCCAGAATTCCAGAATTCTAGAACCGGTGCGTACTACCCCGAACTGCCCGACTAGTCCGAGGAAGCAAGCTTAATTGAAGACCCTGGGAAGTTCTTTGTAGCCCTCGCTATCTTACCAACTTTTTCTTTTTTTTCTATTGATATTTATATACATTACAAATTTTAATGGATTTTCACGACATTCTGTGGTCTCTTCTTTTTTTTTTTTTCTTTTTTTCGTCCAAATCCGTGAATTTGTTTTACCCATGCTAAGTCACGAAAAAAAAAACACTATATAAAATTCACTATTTTTAAATCCATGATGTTGAATGTGTTAAAATTATTCAATTTTTTAGCAAGAAAAATCTCAAGATGATGTTTAAAATTGCTGCAAAATATTGATTTAAGATGGAATGATCTATTATGACATGTCTCTAATAGGTATTTAGATACATTGTATTTATTTTCAATTTTTCTACTTGAATTGTTCAACTCTATTGCATATGATCCATTATTGTACATAATTAGGTTACAATAAAATTTGTATTTAATATGAATACTCCATTATGAAAATTGAGATGTAGTACAGCGGTCTGTCTCGCACCCCACCAAACACACTGTATCATGGATTAGGTGCGTACAAGACACTTGCACAGGTCCTGCGCTCTGTTTTGACTTGGTACTGAGGTCAGGCATCAGTGTATGGTTCTGTGAACCTAAACATGGAGTCAAGATGAAAAGGTGAGTCGAGATTCTTAACCATTTTCTCAATTCCTGTTGTATCCAAGAAATACACTCTTACTATACATTCAAATACGTGCATAACACATTGAAACACCGGTTCTCGTTCGATCGTCGAAGTTGAGCATCGTCGAGCCTTGTCAGTACCTAGATGGGTGACTGCTTAAAAATACGAGGTGTTGTAATCTTGAGCTTTCGGGTGATGTAATAACTTCCATTTAATTCATATGTAGCGGGTGGAACGATTCTTACCTTGACATATTTTAGGGATTTGTGAGAAGGTGTATGTAAAGAAGTCAATCGAAATTCTAACACGGTTCGTCAATTTCTCGTCCCGAGTCGCTAGATCAGCTGCATATCACAAATTGTGTATATATATAAATAATAACTCATTTTCAATAGCATTTTCGGATACAACAATACATATATTTTCGTTGTCCTCTTATTACTAAAAAAAAAAACAAGAACAACATCTATTCTATACCTGAAGATGTCTGTAGGAACAGACGAAAAGCTTATAAATAAAATAAGAACCAATAGGGCAGAAATTTATAGAAACAAGGATCATTTCATTCATAACGGATTCGGAGGTTTTTGTATATTATTTGAATTGTTTGCGATGATGGATTTCTCGCCAATTAAATCATTAACCTTTGCATTTGTTTTTGTGTGAATAATTCATGAATATATATATATATATATATATATATATATATATAAATCTTGCGATGGATAAATTGACTACATGACGCAAAAATGAAAATAACACTGACATCTCATTTTAACAGATATATTTACCAAAATTATACAAAAATATCTTGAAATAGTAAAGAGTAAATTTCTTCAATCAATTCGCCATTGGCTTCAACCACGACTTTAGAATCTCCTGCAACTCTTCTGGAAGATCACCTTATTTAAGTTGGTGAATACCACCATAATCCTTGCCTTCAGTTCATCTTTGGTGTTACAAGGAGTTTTGTTAGTCTCTCGCTCAGCTGCGCCCAATTCATAATCAAGGGGGTTACAGTCGGGGGAGCTAGATGGCCAGATGTCGTCGCAGAAATTTTCTGGCATCCATAAATGGGTTCTCCTGCTTGTGTGACATGGTGCGGACACCTGTTTCCAGACAGTGTTTTCCAGCAACCAACCTCTTAACCCAGGGAAACACTACCTCCCTGGCTATAAATCTGATTGTCTTGGAGGGATTGTTTTCAATAATGGTCTGGACCTTATCAACAAATTCAGTTCTTTACTTATCAGAACGATGAGAGTGAGTTTTCTGAGCTGCTTTACCTTTTGTAATCACCATTAGACTATTCATCCATCTCTCTTCGAATCCTCTGCACTCTCCTCAGATTTACACCCAAACACTCTAAAATGTTCTTATTGGAGCTTCCGGCGCGAATGCCGAGCAGTACAGCATACCGTTTCCAAATTTCTAGCGGGGTGTATTGCGTCATGGTGTTCTTTTTTTTCACAGGCGGTGCCCAACTGACCCTACTATACTATGCAGTCGACAAAATCAAAAACAAACAACGCGCATGCGCAAAATAAAAATATAAAATGGAGACAATTTACCTATCACATATATATATATATATATATATATATATATATATATATATATATTTTGTAATTGTTAGGGAATATTTATTACTGACTATGGACATTAAATTTTTTTTCTAAATATATATATTTATATAAGTAAAAGGTTTTTCATTAAGCTGCTTGGTGTAACTTTCAACATCCCGACTCCAGACAGACCTTTCGGATTTCACTCTGTCCACTCTTGCATGTGTGTGCCCGTTTTTCAGTGTCCTGATTATTTGTTTTGTTTTTTGGTTTTTCACTTTATACTAAATCCTTAGCCTTTCTCTCTTTTACGACTCTTTCCTTTTAATTATCAACATTTTGACGTCCGGTTTTCTAGACACACGCTGCCGTTGTTAATTTTTGTATATGTGTGTGTGTGTGTGTGTGTGTGTGTATATATATATATATATATATATATATACACATATATATGTAAGAAAGTTAATATATAAGTCATATACAGTAGTAATATATAAGAGAGTTAATATATGTGTATACTGTAGTATAGATATTTATTATATATATATATATATATATATATATATATATATATATATATATATATAAATATCTATATAAACGCAATCATTTTTTGTCTGACATTGATGGTGACATTGTTCTAAAGTCGAAATTACTCGGAATAATTGAATATGTATCAACATAGTAATTTTCTCTCTTCCTTTGATAAGAGTACTAAGAAGCTTGTCTGTGTATTTGAGAGGATCCTGTTGAAAATAAGTAGAATGAACTTGTTTAAATGGGACATGTCTGTCTTTCTTTCTTTCTTTATATATATATATATATATATATATATATATGATAGTAAAGAAAAGAATGGTTCTTATATTACGTAGATATAGTAGGCCGATGAAAGAAATCGAGAATTAAAACAACAGAAATATTATTGATAATATTTATTCTATATTAGTAGGTCTTTTGACCAAATAGAAGCAGGAAGAGAAAGATGTTAAAAATTGGAATTTTCGGACAGGCCTATTGTCTTTCCTCAACGATAAAAAAAAATTTGGTGTGAGTGGAAATCCCTGACAAAAATGTCCAACGACCTACTATATATATATATATATATATATATATATATATATATATATAATTGCTATAACACTCGTTACTGTAGTACAATATTCTCTCGATATTCTATACTGCTTGGGCAACGTTGGCCACTTTGGCCAACGTTGCCCAAGCAGTAGTTCGCCGTACTATTAAATGTCTGGAAGGTAAAGGCCACTATTTTAAGCATATCTTGTAATTGTAGAGTCTAAAAGTAACTTGTATTAACCTCGTGTTGTCTGAATAAATTTAGTATTACAATATCTATAGAAGTTTTTCCTTTCCTGGAGTGGGTATGCATTTTTTTGGTGAACTCTGTATAATAAACTTTTAAAAGGATGTTCTTTCAACCTGCCACCATATAAATCGTTCCTATTCTATTTGAGCCCTCTTTTATAAAATGAGAAAGCCACGTTTACATATTTCTCCCTCTATTTTTTCGAAGTTGGAGCAGTTCTTTTAAAACTTTATTTTATTATATGAAGTCTCTATCTCTTGATAGAAGTTGTTTCACTTTTTTTTTTTTTTTTTTTTTTTTCTTGCAGTTTTAATCTTTCCGGTTAATCTGATAGGATATATGCGCACAGTCTACTCTATTTTATAAAGCTTCTAATGAGTATGAGTGTTTTTTTTTTTTTTTGAATCAGACCTTTTAAATCCATTGACAGGTCGTCTTACCGGTTCGTTAAGTAATCCGAGATCGCTTTTTTTAATAGCAATTTCTGTGGAATGCCTTTCGTCATTGGTAAATATTACACCAGCTTTTAGAAGGAAAGAAGCCCAATACAATAAACAAAGAATTGTAACTTTATCGTAACCGCTCATCTCTTAGTTTTTGTCTTATTTCATATCGCACATTCATCTTTTTTTCAAAAGCTCTTACCTCAATTTTACTGTTTTTCCTTTCCTTGCTCTTTTATATCTTCTTTTCTATATGCTGTGTCACTTCGGGACGTTGGCGATCATGGCCCTCCACAATTTCCTCTCCTTTGTAGCTTTTAATAAATTTTGTCTTTCTGTTATTTCTCCTAAACCCTGTTCCGCCATCAATTTACTCAAACTCATTTAGTATGTTATGCGTTTTTTTCCTTTGCCTCTCTTGCCTTCAATCTGCCCTGTGAGTATCACATTTTCCAAGCCCTCTTTCCTCATTATATGCCCCGTAAACTTCAACTGTCTCTTCCTAGTATTAGTTTCCTTTTTGTTTCTGTTTTCTCTAAAATTTCGTCGTTACTCACATGTTCGGATCATGGTATTCCCAGCATCCTTCTGTAGAACCACATTTCTGTTGCTTCAAGCCTCCTCTTCATCTTCGAGTAGATTGTCCAGCACTCACTGCCAAACTGGAGGGCAGATATCGTGTAACAGTTTAGCACTCTTTTCTTTGTTTCTAGTGAAATGTTCCTATTTCTTAATACTCTGCTTAGCTTTTGGAAGGCAGCTTTGGCTATCCCAATACGCCTTCGAATTTCAGTGACGCACTTTCCGTCTCGTATTAAAAAATTTCCCAGATATTTAAATTTTGTACTTGTTTGATTTTGGTATCTCCTATTTTTAATCTGCATATTGGATGAGTCTAACAGCCTTGCATTCTGTCTACTTGCAGTTGATGTTTAAACTTTTCTTCAAACTTTCCTTCACGACCTTCTGTCGGAGTTTTGTAGTTTTCTTTCCATGTCTGCTATCAACACTTTATCTGCATATTTTCCGAACTAATATGGTCCGAGCCCTTCAGGAGAGCCCATTTTCTTAAGATTTCTCGAAAACGCTGGCTGAAAGACGTAATACACATTGTTTAAAATAAAAACCGGGCTTCTGTTTTAGATACGGGTATCCACTAAAATATCTTTTGAAGTAATAAAAATGTCAGATTAAAAAATAAATCCATTTACTGTTTAGAAATATGCGTCTTTAGATATATTTCCATACGGTGGAGTAATGGATAGCGGTTCGGATTGAGGAATCGGAGAGCCGAGTTCGAATTCCAGTCGAATCCATCACACTCACTTACGTGAATGGGAAAGGTATGAACCCTCTTCTCCCCCCCCCTAGCTATGGGTAAATAGCAGGACAGACTGGGTTCTGTAACCTTCGGTGGCAACAGGTCTACCGCAATCTACTGCGGGAAAAAAATCTGCCTTGTCAGTCATGTATCGAAAGATACATGATCGCCTAAGCGTGTATCACGCATGGCACATAACTGACTGACTGATGTGCTCTTCTCGAGATTTATTGCGTTAACATACAGCAATTGTGGCTTCGCTTCCCGCTTTCATAAACATCTTCGAAAACCCGACCATCTCAGACACTGCCACCTGGCATCACAAGTGTTGGCGAGATAAATTCAAATACACATAATGTCTCATAAATGCCGAGAGAATGTGGTGGGTACATTTTCGTCGAATGTTTCTCGAAAGCTTCTCAAATCAATTTCAGAGTGACTTACCCCCGATTACACAGTGCATTATCCTGCTAGAATAGATCAGCGTTGTTCGGGAGGTGGAAGACACGGAGTCGATAAATGG